ATACAAGAATATTATTATAATGACTAAGTAGATTCAAATTCCCCGTACATGCATACAAGAATATTATTATAATGACTAAGTAGATTCAAATTCCCCGTAGATGCATACAAGAATATTATTATAATGACTAAGTAGATTCAAATTCCCCGTAGATGCATACAAGAATATTATTATGACTAAGTAGATATTCTACGCCACTCTTGACACAATTTTGGTTACGTATAACAATTCATGGAACTTGGGGATATTCTTTGTATCAGATTCAGATTTAAATTGTTCAGGGACATAATTATTTATGAAAGAATGGGTTTTTTTATCCTTCGGAATGTTTGATATTTGATTGGCTACCTCGGAGTTACAACGTTCTATCTACTCAGCACTTAATGTTGAGACATTTGACGGCAAATTTTTTATTTCACAATAATAATATGTCAAGCTTTTTCGAACGAAATTTTTTAAAATATCTTGATATGTGAGGCAGCCTGGTGGAATCAGGCTCTCGTCAATTTTTGGGCATGTAGAGTTATTGGTATCATCTTAAAGTAAGCTTGTTGACTTGTCTTTGTTGGGATGGAAAAAAAAACCCATTTATCTTGAATAAAAGTCGAGATATTTGCGAAAGAAGGAGGTGGAGCCACATATTTTCAGAGGTAAAATTAAATTAGTGAGAAAAAGGCCCCCAAAGATTAGATATGTCCTTAGCTTAAGAGTCCGGGTAACTGAAAATTTACATTTATTGTGCCTTTAATCAAAGTATCTCAGAAAATTCACACAGAAATGAGTTCTTTAATGGGCATGAAAGTTGTTGACCCAAAAAACACAAATTTGATAAAAATTCACAAACCTGCGGAAAAATGCAAGTTTCTTCACTTTGATTATTTTGACGAGAGCCTGATTCCACCACGCTGCCTCACATATACGACTCCGTATAATCTTACACGATTTCGGTAGAGCTGGCAGAACAGAATTTGGTTTCTGACCTCAATTTTATGGCCGTAGTTACTCAAAACGGCCCAAAATGTCAGATAGAACTTTGTAATTCTGAGGTACCAATTTGACTGCTCCTTTGATATTCGCAAACTTATACTTATATATCCAATAAGTTTATATTGTGCAACGTTGGTGGGTTTGATGGTTCTTATTTTTTCTCGTCTTTGCTGAATTCACTGTACACATAGCGACCGGCTGCTTCCCATCAGACCTCTGGCTTTTCCTGGAAAGAGAATTCAACGGTCATTATTATAACGTTCAAATTGTTGTTTCATGACATTGTCATTTCAAATGTTTACTCACTCACTCTCTCACTCTCTCACTCTCTCTCTCTCTCTCTCTCTCTCT